CGGCTACAATACTGAGCATATTAATTTTGTATTACGTGAATCCAGTTGTCTTAGACTCGGGAAAATACCTTCGGTACAACAAACCCGCTCCTTTCTCCTTATTATAAATATTTATAAATTTCAAATAGTAGTTGAATCCATTTTGGGCTGGTGCCTTATTATGCATTTCTTCTAATTTATTAATTTATTTCGTGTGACGCTTCCATGTACATTCTTTTTTTCGTTTGTATTATTTAGTTCTCTCATACCTCTATCGGAGGAAGCAAAGGGAATAAATTATTATTATTATAGTCAGCCAATCGACACGCGAAGACAATTCAATGTTATTCAATCGGCCAATAGAATGCTTTCGTTTCGGTTTAAAGCGCGGTGGTCGTCGCGCAGCGCGTGTTCGAATTTCATGTAAATAAACAATGTACTTTACACGCGTTGTATACGTCGCTATAAGTCCCATATCGAACAGGACGCGGCACGACGACTACCGCCCTTTAAACTTTGAATATGATAAATATTTATAAAAATAAAGAGTACGGGTTTGTTGTGCTAAAAGTATGAGAAACGTATTTGCTATGAAGGCAAATTGATGAACTGAAGAATATAAAGTGACATTTTGCTTTCCACACATTTCGCGACATATCTGATGAGCGGCAGTCAAAGAAATATATTACACTTGTGAAAAAACTGATGATGCAAACCAGTTTCACGGATGACTGTTGATGAATCGATGCTGGCGCGCGATCAGTAACTTAGCAACATGAGAACACGAAACTCGTTTGTTCCCCTGTCAAGCGTACGTTAATATTTGCCATGCAACGGTTGTTTTATTGGTCATATAACCACCCTCGCATACTTCAATCATATTATCCTTACTCGCTATGAGCACGATATGTTTTGCTAAATGAATGAGAATGCAAATGCGCCCTACATCGGTCTGGTTTTTATGACAGCCGTTGCTACGATTATTTTTTTTTTACCTAAGATCGCAAATAAAACCTCGCATATGTATTACCAGAGTTATTTTCTCTAATTACCGCGGCGTGTACAGTTGCAGGCAGTCGTTATTACGAATAAAAACCTCGCACAAATGAATATGACCTCTGAACTTCAATGAACGTCATCATCAGCGGATCGGTATTTTTTTTTTTTTTTCAATTGGCTCTCTAATTACCGCAGCGTGCATTGTTGCAGGTTGTAGGCAGTGTGTGTTATCGTTATCACATTTCATCCTCAAGATGGCGCATAGGGGTTAGCCAATTTTAAATACGGTGTGGATGGAAAAGTGTGCGCATTGCAAGCTGTGTTTGCGTCATTTCAAATGATGATGTTGACAAGTAACGTTTATATATGACTAATTAATAACTACTTAACTAGTAATATTGATTCTTGAATAATTACTAAGTGCGTAACCTGTGACATTAGTAGATAAACAATTACTAAGTGCGGAACCTGTGACATTAGTAGATAAACAATTACTATGTGCGTAACAAGTAACGTTAATATATGAATAATTACTAAGGACGTAACTAGTAACATTGATTCATGAATAATTACTGAGTGCGTAGCTAGTAACGTTGATATATGAATAATTACTAAGGACGTAACTAGTAACATTGATTCATGAATAATTACTAAGTGCGTAACCCGTAACATTAGTAGATAAACAATTACTAAGTGAGTAACCTGTGATATTAGTAGATAAACAATTACTAAGTGCGTAACCTGTGACATTAGTAGATAAACAATTACTAAGTGCGGAACCTGTGACATTAGTAGATAAACAATTACTAAGTGCGGAACCTGTGACATTAGTAGATAAACAATTACTAAGTGCGGAACCTGTGACATTAGTAGATAAACAATTACTAAGTGCGTAACCTGTGACATTAGTAGATAAACAATTACTAAGTGCGTAACCTGTGACATTAGTAGATAAACAATTACTAAGTGCGTAACCTGTGACATTAGTAGATAAACAATTACTAAGTGCGGAACCTGTGACATTAGTAGATAAACAATTACTAAGTGCGGAACCTGTGACATTAGTAGATAAACAATTACTAAGTGCGGAACCTGTGACATTAGTAGATAAACAATTACTAAGTGCGTAACCTGTGACATTAGTAGATAAACAATTACTAAGTGCGGAACCTGTGACATTAGTAGATAAACAATTACTAAGTGCGTAACCTGTGACATTAGTATACAAACAATCATCATGTGCGTGACAAGTAACATTGACTCATGAATAATTACTAAAGACGTAACTAGTAAAATTGATATATGAATATTACTAAGTGCGTAACTAGTAACATTAGTATACAAACAATAACTAAGTGCGTAACAAGTAACGTTAATATATGAATAATTACTAAGTACGTAACTAGTAAAATTGATATATGAATATTACTAAGTGCGTAACTAGTAACATTAGTATACAAACAATAACTATGTGCGTAACAAGTAACGTTGATATAAGAATAATTACTAAGGACGTAACAAATAACATTGATTTTTCATCAAGTACGGGTGGTTAACCAATATTATTGATAAGTGAATCACCGTAATTAGATAAGTTTTGTCTGTGCCGTTATTGGCTGATTGTTGTTGTTGTGCTTCGTCAATCAAAAGAATTACAACGCCATCTGTCAGCTTAACGATATGCTGTATAGTTACTGCAGCAGACAGTTTGGACATCGACTTAACGGCGTCGTAAAACCATCACTTCTTTTACGGCATCCAAGTCCCAAGCAGGAATAAACTCTGATGCGAGTGGGCGATTTACAAGAATCTAGGAAGTGTCAACATTCAAATTATCTATGAGATCCATTTACCGGTTTAACGCAGGCAATTAATGTCTTGAAAAAGTGAGATGTTGAATTTTTCGAGTTACTAGCATCGAGTTACGAAAGCATCGAGTTACAAAATGACCACGCCAATATTTTAGAAACCACGCCTCTTGCGAGACCTCGTCAAATTGTAATTCTGTGCCCAATTAACATACATTTTTGTTTTTAATGAACGTCCACATTTAGTAATTTAATTAACAAAACCAGACACCGAGTTACGGGCAACATAGATTTTTTGTTTTGTTTAACGTTCAAATTTAGTAACTCGAATGTTAATTAACATTTAACCAAATTTCGAGTTCTGGGAAATATAAAACGTTAAACAGGACAAAAAAAATTATGTTGCCCGTAACTCGAAGTTTGAGGTGACTATTAATTAAAGTTCGAATTAATAAATATGGACGTTAAACAACAAGTAACAATTTGCGTTGCTCAAAAATCAAAGTGTGGTTAACTGTTAATTGAACATCGAGTTACTACATACACGAGGTCTCACAAAAGTGGGCGTGGTCATTTTTGTAACTCGATGTTTTCGAAACTCGTTGCTCATTGCTCTCGTTTTACGTTAATGGTGCAGTATGGACAAAAAGCATTTTCTGCGATATTTCTGTTTGATACGGTATGTTAGAACAAGATTAATTTATTATTTATAGTGAATTAAAACGCTGCTTTTACAGCAGTTTGTATAATATTCTTTCAATGCAAACAGAAATATACTAATACGCATGCACAGGGATTGTTATGGTACGTACCAAATTAACTAATGCACATGCGCATTAGAGACTGTCGTTGTTTATTGATACTCAGCTGTGTGCTACTAAAACGTTGTTTTAGTTCATGATAGATCATAATCCGTCGTTCGTCATTTAGAATGCATTAACCTTTTCACCACCAGTTCCCTCTTTTCATCAAAAACTGACAAAATAATCCCGCTTATAATCTGCACTTTAATTTTCAGAAGATTGAAACAAAGCCAAATTATTTGAGTAAAAACTGACAGATGACTCAATGTCAAGATGACTTTTGTCTGTTGGCCCCAAAATTAGAATGTATTTCCAGAATTTTTGAAGATTATAAGGAAAACGTACAAAGCAGTTTCGGGCGGGAAAGTGAAAGTCTGGTGGTGAAAAGGTTAAAATCTCTCGAAGCTGTAAGGGGCATTCCTATTGCCCTTTACAGAAGCGCCTAAGTAAATGAATAACTATTATGCGCAGTCGTGTATCATTACGCGGTTATATATCAGCGGTACGTAGTCTAAAGTTTGTGCGCTCCCTGGGGTCTCTGAAACTCAGTAACGCAAAGGAAGCATGGCTCATGACGTAATTGCAGTCAGATGTTGGCTGATTGAAAATGACGTCATCGTAAGCGTTGTTAATCACCAGGATAAGATTTAGTTGAATGCTCCGTGTATCGTTGTAAACAAACCCGGATGGAGTATTTTACCTTCTTTGGTTGCATGAAGCCGGTCCTTAGTGTGACCTTTTTTCATATATTAGAATGGTTAAAGCGAGGGAGTCGTCACCTGCGCATGCGTCAGATGGCCATAGCGCGTCATTGTTTACAAACAAGCGTCTACCCATGAACCTTTGCATTTTTAGCGTGTGTTGTTATCGTCGCTTGGGACTGAATTTCCGCGCGTGCGCAGGTGACGATCCTCCCGCTTTAATAACATAACCCGATTATCGATCCAGTAGGTGGTTGTAAGAATTGATCTGTCAGATCATAGAACAAGTAAAGACTCGACGATACATGGTTTGTGAATTATTATTATTACAGAAATAATTTACACATTTTCAAAAAAAAAACAAAAAACATAACAAAAATATCTTGGAATGGTTTATTCCTAGCTGAATATTCAATTAATATTTTCAGGGATAAATCAATCACTGGTAATTTATATTTGTGACGTCGATAAAACGTCCTTCATGTACTTTTTTTTTATCAATATTTCAGATATTGTGATCGCGGATGGATTAAAAGGTCGTTCCTACTGTACGTGGAAGTTGTTGAAAGTTATTACACGATAACGAGAGCCGAATTGATCGACCTCAATCAGCCATATTGCAAATTGCCTCACTACAGCATGTTTAACCCACGATTTGAAAACGAGTCTGCGAACGACAGAATCTGAATAGAATGTGGCGAACGAACAATATGGAGAATGACACAGAGCTAGTCTTTTCGGAGTCGAATTTTACAAGCTACGCCGATATTTTCGGAGCCTCGACCGGTAATACACCGGTGGTTTTCTCGCCTGCGTTTCATATTCCGGAGCTGTGCTTGTTATTCTTTCTGCTGGTCGGAAACTCGACTGTGTGTTGGATTATATTTACAAATGAGAACTTGCGCAACCGGGCCAACATGTTCGTGGCCATATTAGCCTCCGCCGATCTCTGTTTTGGGATATTTGTAGCTCCGTTTATCGTTGCAGGTTTTTTAGGAGATTGGTACACCGACCCATACCTGTGTAATTTCAGCGGTGTCATCACGACACTCTTCCCAGCCGCTGCCAACGTAACACTCTGCTTCGTAAGTATCGACCGTCTGCTCTTCGTAAGGAAGCCTCTGCGCTACCAGGAGTACTGGAAATCGCCTAGATGTATCGTCGCTATATGCTACGTCTGGATACATGCTTTAATTTTCCCGACTCTGCCTCCGTTGTTCGGCTGGGGGAAATACATCCATCATCCTGCCGTCAACACATGTATACCAGATCTCACCGAGGTGCCCTTGTTCGGATATGTGACAGTCGCGTACGGTTTCGTCCTACCTAGCGTAATCATGATATATTGTTATTATCGCATTTATCGCGCCGCGAGATTACAAGTAATGAAGGTGAGATCAGAAGCGTTTGCTTATCAAGCGACGACAGTGCGACGGGTGCTTCACGACACTAAACTGGGATATAGACGTACAGCGAAAACGCTGATATTAATGATAGTTCTGCACACTGTCTGTTGGACACCGAACCTGTATGTACAAGTGTATTCGTTGCGGTATGGTGACAGCTACGCGCCTTCTAGTAAACTGCAGTATGTATCGGCGTTGTTGATTTTGACGAATACATCTTTGGAACCGTGGGTGTACGGGATGTACAACGTTGCTTTTCGAAAAGCTGTCAGACGACTTTTTACTGTGTGCGACTGGAAACGATTAAATTGTTTTCGCGCCTGTCCCCGGAGACCAAGCAACTATCAAGTCAGTCCGATTATATAGTCTGCGTTCTATTCCCGCCAAAAGAGCCCTTGGTGCACGAGACCATCGGGCGACTATGGCTGTGTCCTATGAGACCAAGCACTAACAAGGAAAGATTTACTATGTTTTTAATTTTCGCCAAAAAAATCACGGACGTTGAGATGCACAGCGTTGCTCTAAGAAAAAAACGATTGTTTGTGAAACGGCAAATTCGTGTCTTCGAATAACATTCTAATAGTTGACGTTACATTTGTCGTTCAATTCCCGCCAAAAAATGTATCAGACACGACAGCGATGCGAACATGATGCTTAAGAACCTTTCCGAATTCTTGTGCGTTTTTTTTTTTTTTTTACAAATTCTACAAACAACGGATACAGCGTATTGGACCACTGCCAATCGAATCATTTAATTTGCATTGTATTGAAACTGTGTCATTAGAAACACATGGAATTTGTTGACGATTATTTTCTGTGACATTTACATTTTACAGAGACAAATTGATGAATGAGTTTTTAATGTTGAGCAGACGGTACCTTAGCTGTCAAATATATTACCAACAAAACGTATATTGCTTTTTAACTCGCAAAGCCACGTTCGTACTATTTTACTATTCATTAAAATGAATCCAAAACATCACGAAAATTTAATCTGGATCAATGTAATCTTCGTGTGTAAATGGGTTTTTGTATTATTATTAACGATTGGCGCTTGTGGACGATATACAATTTTGTTCGTAACGGGTTGGACATTAGGAAGTCTTGAGGAAGGAGATATGGTAGAGATTGAAAAAAAACTTACACTACCCAGAGAATTTTTTTAAAAGTTCTAAAATGAAAGTTACAGCAAAAAAAAAATATATGTAAAAACAAACACCACATTCTTAACACCAAATCTTCGTGAAAATCTGCACGGTAGATTTACCCCTTGTTGTTATTGGTCAGTCCCTGACTTACAAGCTAACATTTACAGAGCAACGTCGACGCCGCAAACTATATACCCAACAGGCATAATACTAACAATGTGTCACGTGGCCACAAGTACAATATCCTATCCGACAATTAAAAAAAATGGATGAACACGTGCTTAGCAGCAACTGAAATGTTGTGATATGACATTTGACAAGTTTGTATGCCAAATTATAAACATAATTAGAAAATGAAATGAATAAAAAACACACAGTAAGTCAAATGCTCTAAGCATAGTCACGTGTACAAACGCTGATTTACACAACGCACGTGTGTTTGTTAGACCAGAGTTACATTACTTGGAGTTTGCAACTACGGTGACATGATACCAAGATTCCGTTTCAATCTCGCTCTCACATAAATGTTCCAACTCAGAAAAATGCGCATGCCCGAGGTAACTAGGATACTGAGATGTCCAGGTGGATCAAAATAGCTGCGCACGATATGACGGATTACGATAACTATATTTTCTGTACATTTTCGATGTATTACATTTTTCACTATGAACGTGGTAGTACATGTTTTATTGTTTTATTACAAACCGCCTATGTCATGTCAGAAGGTCGTAGCATCAGTCTCGCTATCTACGAGATGAGACTTGAATTGGATCTTGGCATGATGTCACCATACAATACTATGCGCGCTGCAAATCCCAATTAATGCACCTCTGGTTAGACAAATATGATATTATACATAATGGTGATTATTTTAAACCCAAAATCAAACTGAAAAGAACATTTTTTATTATGCTCAAATTCGTTTCATTAATTTTGCAACACTATCTAATTTGTATTTTACTGATCGTCTGTTGCACATGAATATATCCAATGACAGTTGGCGAGTATTTATTTCGACGTAGGTGTTTTGTGACGTCACTCGCGATTATGTCACGCTCCATCGGCTACATTGTGTATTTTTCATTACATCATTGATTATATACTGGGCTTCTGCTTGATATTATTTCCGTCCCGAATTTAGAAAGACAGTTGTCCATCTCCGTCCGCTCTATATTCTGTTTTCCTGTACGATACAATTTCCGTTCTGATTTTAATTTCACGTGACAGTTATAGTTTCGCGTCGTACAATGCGACACGACCCGATTTGCAGACGACAGTAAACATTCTAATTAGGCATTACGTCATTATTTTATTCAACATCGAACACTGGAACATACTATCAGGATACAAACTGAAGAAATACATGACTTTAAGCGGGAATACTCTTCCTTATATGTCTTAAAATCGAACGTGAAAGAAGACACGTAAAGTCTAAAAAGCGCGGGAACTTCAGATAATTAGTATATCTGAGGGTTAAATTACTATACAATGATTGGTTAATTCTAAAACAATGCGTCGTTGTGAATGGCTCTATAATTACCATGGTAACATGTAACAGTTATTTGATCTTCTGGTAGCGGCAGGGAATCCATCAAGTTTCAAGTTTACATTATAGTGACAACACAGTCCTTCTCCCAGTAGAGTGACTGTGCTGACAATCACCATGTGATACGGACGTGCGCTTAGTGGCATGGAATTTCAGTGAAATAAAATAAGATAACGTTCTCCGACAAGTTGAAATTCCATAATGGGCATTACGTCGTTGTTCTAAATTCTGCTGCTCGGTGAGATTTCCGCTCGGAGAATCAGACGATAGTCAGAAATTTCACATCTGGCATTACGTCATTGTTTGAAACTATGCTGCTTGACGAAATTTCCGTCCGGAAATGCAGACGACATAAGAACTTTCAAGTTTTATTTATTACGTCTTTCTTTGGAATTGTGCTGCTGCGCGTGGTTTCCGTGCGAAATTTCAGACGACATCAACAATTTCCAAGATATACATTACTTCAATGTATACTTCAAGTTAAGTTAAGTTAAGTTAAGTTAAGTTAAGTTAAGTTAAGTTAAGTTAAGTTAAGTTAAGTTAAGTTAAGTTAAGTTAAGTTAAGTTAAGTTAAGTTAAGTTAAGTTAAGTTAAGTCTGTCTGTCTGTCTGTCTGTCTGTCTGTTAGTTTATTTTTTTATTTATTATAAATTTCAATAAAACAAAAAATATGTGTAATATTGTAATATTTGTTTTTCGTTCGTTTTTCATTCGACGTAATGAGGATATACAAATTACAGACGTTATTCTAAACTGTGTGGATAAATTCTATATTTTGTTGTTATCAATGGGTTTCACACACAAACTGTGGCATTTCTTTGGTTGCCATACTGCTTGTTGTTCATTATGCTAATTCTAATTGGTGCCAATGATATTAAAATACACGTGACTTACTTTACATTAAAAATTTTACTCAAGGCAACAGAAATAATCAATATGCAAATGACTTGCATTTTAAGAAGGGCTTCACAATATACCTTACGTCATTAAACATAACAAAGTGTTACCTAAAGGGCGGTAGTCGTCGCGCCACGCATGCGCGAGATATATGGGTCTCATATAAACCAAAATGGCGACTTTGACTAGTGGGCAGATCAACGAGTACAAAGAAACTGAGACGTTACAAAGCTTTAATTAGGTATGTTTAGGTGATTGGAAGGTACAGAAGGCGTCACCGGTGGTAATTAGTGCAAGTCGCGCCCGGGTCAAACCTCATACTCGTGATTTATATTAGAAGTGCGCATTGGATTGTGGGAAAACCTATGTTTATCAACACAAATGTCGCACATGCGCGACGACCTCAAGTGCTTAGACATATAATTAATATTTTACCAACATTTTTTTCTAGCCCGTTGGACTATGGGATTGGGTTTTAACAAAATTGGTGCACAAAATGGCTCTTTTGTTTCACGATTTAGTAGTCTTACTACACTGTCTATGGTTTAACCAGTCCCTCGATATTGTGGTTTAACTGTGGAGGGACTGTGGTTTAACCATGAGGAAATAGGAGAGGAGAGAAGCCACTATTGTCCTGCCCTGTTCCTTGATCGCTTCGATATATTTACTTGGTAAACATTCCCATAATTCGATTACGTGAATAATTTGCATTCAGGTCAGCTCGGAAACAGTTTTATAGAGATAAATTGATACCAAATCACAACATGACCTATTACGTCCATGGTTTAACCAGGGTTAATGGCAGGATTCATAACGAAGGCGGTGCAGCAAACATCCTGATTTTATTTATTTTTTTTGCATGTGTACCTATCCCTATAGGACAATCCTCCTAAGGATACTTGATAATAAGGATTTATACAAAAATGGAATAAATAATGAAACAGCCAAAGCCTGGCTAGCGAGCACAGCTGAGCAGTTTATCGATTTTCTAAAAATAGAACTGACGTAGCCATAGAATGTCGAAGTGCGTGAGCTGTGGATGTCCAGTTATCAGTTCTCGCGTGAGTTGAGCGGGATTCAAGATGGCGTCACGCACGACTCGTGTGTCGCCACTGCTCAAAATGACTGAAAACAAAAATTAAGTTAAAATATTTTCAGTCCGTTGTAAAATATGGTTACTTCATCATTGGAGACCATTTTTGAGAATGTTTTATCATAAAAGAGCTGTCCTACTTTGCATAATTGTGAAACAACAAACAAAATGGTGCCGCCCCTCAAAGTCTTGTACCGTGACTAGTATTAGATTTATTTCATATTCTCTAACATATGATAACCAGAGGGCTTGCATCGCGAGAGCCTTCGACCGCTTTTGTTGCCACCACTATTTATATACATTCTTATTGCATACATTTATCATACTCGCATAAGACCGTATCCTCGGGGGCGGAGCCACGTCACAGAACGTTCCACGTTGCTAAGACGCGCACCACCGTACCATGTATTTCTATGGGCCTTACGAGCGCTGCTGTGGAACGCCGGTCAAAATTTTCAAGAAAACAGTGCAAAGTAATCCTGAACAACCAAATTTATATATGCTGCACACGCAAGGCTAATCTTGTTACACTGTTCAAGGGAGTCTCAACAACCATCCCATAGTACCGTATTCTGGGAGTTTTCGGCCTTTGTTCTCACAGTGATGGTTGCCAGGCGGTGAAAATGCCTGGATGTCCGCCCCCGAGAATTGAGTCTTGAACGCAAAATCAGACAACGACCATA